CCGGGGACAGGCCCTGTCCCATCTGGGAACCAGACAATTGTCTAGGAGGAATAGTCCACAGTGGGGTCAAGTCACAAACTGTGGCCCCGGGGGCAGGTTCTGGGAGGTGACTAAGGTGGACACTTCCAGGTGTCTGTATTCCTTTGGGGTCTCCACCTGGAGTGTGTCTGGAAGTCTGGGCTGGGTATGACAATGAGTTGGCCATCTGGTTTCTGTGGCCTCTGGCCTGACCTTCACACTGACAAGCCTCCAAAGTGGCAAAGGGTGTCCCTGAGCTGCTGCTAGCTGTTTAAAGACGAGGCTGAAGCAGGAGGCTTGCGATGAGTTCCAGACTAGCTGAGGCTTCAGAGTGAGTCAAACTAGAGTTGCTGCGGTCAGCTTGGTGGGTAGAGGGCTCGCCCAGCATGCACGAGCTCCTGGATTCCATGGGCTCGACGGTGCACACCTGCCATCCCACCTGGCAGGCGGGAAGGCAGAGGACCAAGGAAGTCAAGGTCGTTCTCAGCTAAAAGAGGGAACGTCAGGCTATCCTGGGCGACCTGAGATCCTGTCTTAAAAAGGACAAACAAAACCCAGGGGTTAGAAGATGGATCAGGAGTTAAGACTGATTACTTTATAAACAGGGGAACCTGAGTTCAAAACTCTAGCACCCATGTAAAAAGCTGAGAGTGCGAGGCAAGAGGGCCTGTAGCCCCAGAACTGTGGGGAGTGGGGATAGGAGAGTCACTGGGGCTTGCTGGCTGACAGCATAGCTCCAACTTCAGTGAGAGACTGTTTCAAAGGACGAAGGCCAAGAGTGCTAAGCAGAACACCTGATCTCCTCCGGCCTCGGTGAGCACATGCGTGTACATGGACCCCCACACACCCAAGAGAGAAATCATCATGCAGAGGGGCACACCCCGGAATCCCAGCACTTAGAGGGTCACAAGTTGAAGTCCACACTGGTCTACCTAGACAGTCCAGACCAGGGAGAATCAGTCTCAAAACAGTCAGGATGGCTCATCAGCCAAGCGTGGTGGTGCACACCTGTAATCCCAGCACTCAGCAGGCAGAGGCGGAGGCAGGCGGATCTTTGTGAGTTCAAAGCTAGCCTGGGCTACAGAGTGAGTTCTAGGCTAGCTAGAGCTACATGGTGAAATCCTGCCTCAAAATAATCACAACAAAAGGATGACTCAAAGGTTAAAGGTGCTGCAGCCATGCCTGATGACTTGAGTTCCATCCCCAGGGTGCAGATACTCATCCTAGATGGAGTTCTGATTCCTCAAGTTGTCCTGACCCCTACACCTATGTCTGCCTGCCTGCCTGTCTGTCTGTCTGTCTGTCTGTCTGTCTGTCTGTCTCTCTCTCTCTTACACACACACACACACCCTGAAAAGAATTGGGTTACTCTTTCTCCTTTCCCTCCCAGGTAGAACACCCAGCTCTGGCATAGATAGACCATAGGTGCCATGGGATTCCCATGGTCTATGAGGGAATAGGTCTGGGGTGTTTTGTCCTCTGGAGCCTCAGGCTAGAGGGTCTGAGGGCTTCTCTCTTGAACCCAGAACCTCCCATCTGGGGGCCTCCAAAGCAGCTAGGTCACTCTTCCTTGAAATGCCCTTGGGTCCTATAGAGTCCCTTGTGGATTTGGGATAATTAGTGGACAAGCTGTGGTATTGGAGAATACCAATGACCAAGGCTAATCTAGAATTGTCCTAACCCAGCTCATGGTTTAGACAACAAAATACACAAATAAGGGCCTGGGGAGATGGCTCAGCAGTTAAGAGCATTGGTTGCTCTTCCAGAGAACTGTGGTTCAGTTCTCAGCACCCACATGGTGGCTTACAACTGTCTAACTCTAGCCGCAGAGGATCTGACGCCCTCTTCTGGCCTCTTCAGGAACTGTACACACACATGACAGGTGAAACACCATTCATATAAAATATTTTTAAAATACACAAACAAATTAATCTATAGCTAGAAAATATGGGGTGCTATAGGGAGCACTGGATTTCCCAAGATCACCCCCATCTTTACATCTACTCCAGACCCCTCCAGAACAGACAGTGAAGTCCCGGCAGATCCACCTACAGCAGAAGTCGACATTTTCCTCGCTATAGCTGTCCAGTGCCAGTGAGGGAGAATACTGACCTGGCCCTGGCTCCTGGCTGTCCCCCAAGGATGCTCCTAGGTTGGCGCAGGGTGCAGGACCCTGTGTTCTCACCAAGAGTTTGCAGGAGGGAGTCGGGGGTGGACAGCACTGACCTTGGCCGAGGCCTGACCCCTCATGCTAGGCTAATGTGGCCTGGGCAGGGTGAATCAAAGGACCATTGTGTAGTTGGCACAGGTTCAGGGCCCCTCTCTGTCCTGCTCCCACGTACTGGAAACCCATGGGTTCCCCAGGGACACCCTTGGCACAACTGTCCCCAGCTCAGCCTTCTATCTCCTGCTGCCCACTTCCTACCACCAAGCTCTGAGAGTCAGTTGTTCTAGGATCACGCCCCATGATCTCTGCTCAACTTCCCAGGTTTCTCTCTCACCCAGACCCAGGAGCACAGAGGAAATGACAGGCTTGCGACCCCTCGACCCCTGACAGCTAGACGAGCCTGGAGGGTGAAGCCACGCTTAAGACCAACAGAAGAGGTCATGGCTGGCTGAAGATAGATCTGTGTGTACGTGTTTGTGTGAGTGGCGACCAGAGGTCAGGGTCCCATACCTGATTGCTCTTCACCTTATATTTTGAAATGGGGTCTCTCAGTGACACTGGAAGTCACAATTCAGCTAGACTGGTTGGCCAGTGAGCCCCAGGGATGCTCCTGTGTCTGCCTCTCCAGCACTGGGTTATATCCACATACCCAGCCTTGTCCATGGGTGCCAAGAATCTCATCTCAGAACGCCATGGTTGAGTGCCAAGTGCTCTACTGCTAGGCCACATCCCCAGCTCTCATTTTATTTTTTTATTTTTTGACATACAGTCTTGTTCTGTAGCACAAGTTGGTCTGGGACTCCAGATCACTCTGCTACAACTAGGCACAAAGAGAGGATCTGTTGAGGCTTGAAAGACTGAATGTTTTTGCCTCAAGGCACACATAGGACAATGGCCTCTAGTTATCCAGGTCTCTAGACCAGAGCCTGGGGATCTGTCTCTTTCTCTAGTTACAAGAAGCCACCCAGCTAAGGACCTTCAAAGCTTGGCTGTGATGGCATGCACGCATCCATCCCTGACTAAGGCAGGAGGATGACAAGTTTTGGCTAGCCTGGGCTGTATGAAAAGACCCTGACCAAGAAACAAACAGGGCCAGTCAGGAGTTGTGGCACATACCTTTAATCTCTGTGATTTCAAGGCCAACCTGATCTACATAATAGAGTGGTCCAGGCCACACAGACAACAACAAAATCCACAAAACTAGACAAACAGAGCCTTAGCAATAGCTCAAATTTAGGAGTCACAAGAGCTCTAAGTTCCACCCCTGCACACCTGCAGACTAGCACTCAGGAAGTTGGTGCCAACGGCTCTCCCACCCCACCCTAGGAAGACTCTGGGAGTCCAAGGTCATCCACCACTATATTTTGAGTTCAAGGCAGCCTGGGCTACAGGAGACCTGCTCCCACATTTTCTGTTTTTTGAACTGGGCCTGGCCCACTCCTGTCTTGCTGGGTTGGAAAGCTGAGCTCATAGCTGCAGGCCACTCCTGCCAATGGCCAGAAGGAATCTAGCCAGGAAGAAGCAGTGCCAGTAAGGGGCCATATGTGCCTG